ATATATAATGTCCAATCATATAAAGGTCTAATACAATATATATTATCTAATCATATAAAGGTCTAATACAATATATAATGTCCAATCATATAAAGGTCCCAAACAATATATCATATCTAATCATATAAAGGTATAATACAATATATCATATCTAATCATATAAAGGTATAATACAATATATAATGTCTAATCATATAAATGTATAATACAATATATCATATCTAATCATATAAAGGTATAATACAATATATGATGTCTAATCATATAAAGGTCCCAAACAATATATCATATCTAATCATATAAAGGTCTAATACAATATATAATGTCTAATCATATAAAGGTCTTATACAATATATAATGTCTAACAGGGTGGACTGACCATTCGAGCACTCAGGCACTGCCCAAGGGCCCGGGGTCAGTAGGGGGTCCCATGAGATGCCCCTGGTGCCTTTCACTTTTCATAGGCTTTTTTTGGGTGTGGGCAAGGACACAGGGGCCCCATGATCCCCTATTGCCCGGGGCCCCATGAGTTGTCAGTCCGCCCCTGATGTCTAATCATATAAAGGTCTAATACACATCCATAACATTGGAGCATTGTTTTTTTAATTTTAAACACGTCAGTAAATTATGCTCAAAATAAATATATATAATGTATATATAGATATATATAGATATATAAAGTATATGTATGTATGTCAGTTTAAAAATGCAGCAGTCCACAAATGAGATGAGGCACAGAGGTTTGTCATATCTGATGTTCGGATGTTGTGATGTAATACTGGTTCACCCCGGCTGTGACTATTCTGACTCCTTGCAGCTTTTTGCTCTCTGTTAGAGATTTCAGGGTTGACTTGGATGATTGCCCACTGCTGGGTACTCAGCTATAGCATCATGCAGGGCCGTGAATAAGGGGGTACCACCAGTCCTCCTATACGGGACCCAGGACAGCAGGGGGGCCCAGGCAGCTGGGTGAATTGGATATAGGCACAGAGGGTGATCACCATGCTGGGGTGGGGTGCAGCGGGGGACAATTACTGGAACTGATCCCTGTATGGCTCTCTCTGCAGCAGCTGAAAGCTGACTTCTTCTCCTCTCCCTCCCACTGGCTTTCAGCTGCTGAAGAGAGAGCCATACAGGGGATCTGTTCCAATAATTGTCCCCCGCTGCACCTATAACCCTCTTTGTGCTCTATACGTTCCCCCTGCTGCCCAAGACCACCTGTGTTCCCTACCTGGCAGGGCTTCCGGCTTCCCTCCTCTCCTTCCCAACAGCAGCTGCAAGCGCACAATAGGATCCTTCAGGATGGAGAGTGGGGAAGGATCTGGTAAATATGTCACATTTACCAAGCCCTTCCATTCCTGAATGAACACAATGAATGATGAGTACTGACCACTCACTGGGTTTATTCATAAATGAAGCATAGTAACGTGTTTTTTTTGGGGGGGGGGGGGGGGCCTGTCAGGTTGGCTGTATGGGGCCCCGTGGTTTCTAACAGCTGCCCCGGCAATGTGAACATAAGACATACAAATCAGGGGATGTCCGGCAGTGTTCTGAGCCATATTATGGGGTGTTTGGGGGTCAGGCACAGTCCTGGGTAATGTGCAGGCAGTGATGAGGCTTTGCTGCAGGAGAAGGCTTGGCTCATGCCTCTTGCTGAATATATTTCCTCCTTCTGATTTTGTTCTTTTTTTTTTTTAATCCATTTCACTTCTCTCTTCTGCTTTTGCTATAAAGCTCTTACTTTCTTTCTCCGTCTCCCAATTACTCCAACCGAGCCCAGAGCCCCTTTCACCGCCCTGAGACACAACTCTGAAAAGGGCAGCAACTAAACCGACCCATTGGCCATTGTTCTGCCATATTCAAACATCCAACGTACGCAGATCCCACAAATTGGTCGCTATATTCCACAGATCCCTCCACCCTGAATCAAAGAGCCGTGTGTGTGACTATTGATGCTCCAGATTAAAACATAATCTAATAAAAACATGCTATGAAATAAACAATCCTGCTTGGATCCAAAAGGATAGTCATAGGGTTAGAACTGCATAAAGAGTAGAAATGTTTCCGTTTATATACAATGTATCCTCCTGAAATCACGGCTGATATTTGGATACAATGTGATAACGATCCAGCTTTGTACCCACAGTCTGCACTTCCAAATGTCCCCTCTTTATCTAAATACATTTATATTCAGGAGGGCTTTTTGTTCTCAGAAAATCGGTACAGGAACTCAAACATTTCCCCGTCAAAACAACCCCCCCCCCACACATGTATGTACAAGTAGCATCAGGTAGTGGGTGTGGTCAAATTTCACTAAGAGTGGGAGGGTCTTAAAAGGGCATTACATTCCAGGAGTGCATTATGTCCAGAGTGCGGAGTTCAGGGGTGCGCTACACACAGAGTGCAGAGCTTCAGGGGTGCACTACACACAGTGCAGAGTTCAGGGGTGCGCTACACACAGTGCAGAGTTCAGGGGGGTGCTACACACAGAGTGCAGAGCTTCAGGGGTGCACTACACACAGTGCAGAGTTCAGGGGTGCGCTACACACAGAGTGCAGAGCTTCAGGGGTGCACTACACACAGTGCAGAGTTCAGGGGTGCGCTACATACACAGTGCAGAGTTCAGGGGTGCGTCACACACAGAGTGCAGAGCTAAGGGGTGCGCTACACAAAGAGTGCAGAGTTCGGGGGTGCGCTACACACAGAGTGCAGAGCTAAGGGGTGCGCTACACACAGAGTGCAGAGCTAAGGGGTGCGCTACACAGAGTGCAGAGCTAAGGGGTGCGCTATACACAGAGTGCAGAGCTCAGGGGTGTGCTACACACGGAGTGCAGAGCTCAGGGGTGCGCTACACACAGAGTGCAGAGTTTGGGGGTGCGCTACACACAGAGTGCAGAGTTTGGGGGTGCACCACACAGAGTGCAGAGTTCAGCGGTGCGCTACACACAGAATGCAGAGTTCAGGGGGGTGCTACACACAGAGTGCAGAGTTCAGGGGTGCGCTACACACAGAGTGCAGAGTTCAGGGGTGTGCTACACACAGTGCAGAGTTCAGGGGTGCACTACACACTGAGTGCAGAGATTGGGGGTGCACTACACACAGAGTGCAGAGTTCAGGGGTGCACTACACACTGAGTGCAGAGTTCAGTTCTCTTCCACAGTTGCCTACCTCCGCATCCCCCATTGATATCTCACTTTCGCCCCTCTTCAGCTCTGATCTCGGCACAGAACCCCCCTCCTTAAAAGCTCCACCGTTTTCCACGTGTATTACTTTTGTTGCAGTATTAAGCTGAAGCACCCAACTGGCTCTAGTATCTCCTCCCACACTGTAGGTGGCTTCGCCTGTCTCACTTGCAGGGAGATCATCCAGTGGGGATGTTGGCATTCGGGCACATTGGATAAAAATTAGATCACAGAGGGTGCAGCTATCACTTGGATAGTGGTGAGCAGGGAGAGTTCCATCAAGTTCCAGCTGAAAAAAAAGCCCTGATAATTAGAATCCCTTCCATTCTTCAGGACACTTCTCCAAGTCACTTTTCCTCCACCAGGTTATGTCTCTCCTCCATGTCACCTCTTCTCCTTCAGATCATGTCTCTACCTCCAGGTCACTTCTCTTCCTCCAGGTCACATCTCCTCCAGCTCACTTCTCCTCAAGGTCACGTTTCCTCCTCCAGATCATTTCTCCTCCTCCTCACCTTTTTTACTCCAGGTCTCCTCCCGAAACCTCTCATGCTCCAGATCTCCTCTCCTCCTAAAGGTCATGTCTCCTCATCCAGACCAAATCACCTCCAGGGCACATATCCTCCTCCAGCTCATATCTCCTTCTCCAGGACACTTTTCTTCCCCCTGGTCACATCTGCTCCTCCAGGTCACGTTTTCTCTTCCAGGTCACATCTACCCCTCTGTGTTGCTTTTCCCCCTCTAAGTCAGTTATTCTCCAGAACACATCTCCTACTCCAGGTCATGTCTCCTCCTCCAGTAATCTCTCCTCCCCAGGTCACATCTCACTTCCATGTCCTCTTCCAATTAATTTCTCCTTCAGGTCATATCTCCTTCTCCAAGGCACATCTTCTCTTCCCGATTACTTTTGCTCCTCTTTACCTCTTCTCCTCCAGGTTGCTAATTCTAATTGAGGGCGCTTCTTCTTCAAGTCACTTTTTTATCTCTAGGTTACTTCCATATCTCTTCTCCTCCAGGTCACTTCTCCTTCTACACGTCACATCTCTCCTCCAAGTCACCTCTATTCTTCCTGATCACTTTCCCTCCTTCAGGTCTCCTCCTCCAGGTAACTTTTCCTGCTCTTTACAGGTCACTTCTCCTCCAGTTCAAGTCTCCTCCTATAGGTCACGTCTTCACATACAGGCCACTTTACCTCCTCTATGTCAAATTTCCTTCTCTAGGTCATGTCTCCTACTCCACGTCACTTTCCCCCCCAGGTAACTTCTCCTTTTCCAGGTCACTTCTCATCTAGTTCTCATTTCCTTCTCCGGGTCATGTCTCCTTCTCCAGGTCATATCTCCTCCAACAGGTCACCTCTCTACTTCCAGGCCACTTCTCCTCCAGGTCATGTCTCCTTCTCCTGGTCACATCTCCTCCTCCAGGTCATGTGTCCTCCTCCAGGTCACTTCTGTTCTTCCAGTTCACTTTTCTCCCTTCAGTTCACCTCTTTCCTTCGAGGTCACTTTTCCACATTCAGGTTATGTCTCCTCCTACAGGTCACATCTCCACCACCAGGTCACTTTACCTTCTTCAGAACACTACTTCTCCATCAAGTCACCTTCCCTTTTAAACCCTATCTCCTCTTTTAGGTCTCTTCACCTCCCCCAAGTCATTTGTCCCCCTTGATGTCCCTTCTCCTCCTCCGTTTTAAATCTCATCCTCCACTTCTAATTGTTCAAGACTTATTGGAAACTGTGAGGCATCACAGTTTCATTGGCTTCCTCTACATCATTCCACCAATTCACCTATCTTGTTCATCTTCATCTGTCCACAGCCCTCGCCATGAGCCGGAAAGTTGTTCGCACCAGCAAGTTCCGTCATGTCTTCGGCCAACCAGTGAAAGCCGACCAGTGCTATGATGATATCCGAGTGTCACAGAACACCTGGGACTCCAACTTCTGTGCTGTCAACCCCAAGTTTTTGGCCATTGTGGTAGAGGCCAGCGGGGGTGGAGCTTTCCTGGTCTTGCCTCTATCTAAGGTAGGTCAGAGAGGGAATTCGGGTGGCTTTTTTTTTTGTTAAATTTGAGTGTGTGGTTTCTTGCTTTCAGGACACTGTTGTCATGGCATGAAGTTATTGAAGGTAGTTCCAACCTCTATGCTGATGTGTGTATTTAAATCTTGTGACGGGAGTCATTTTGGGTGGGGGGCCCATGGAACACAGATCATTTTGGAGAGGTGGGGAGACTCCTGTCTCAGCTCCCCATATCCCTCTTATGTGTAAGTCACCCTGTGCCTGTTAGGGGTACAGGGTGATCTGTCCTGGTATTGAGGTGGGGGGGGGGTGTGGATTGTTTAATGCTATGTGGTTGCATCCCATTGTTCTATTGTGTGTTTTGCTTAGGAGCAAACTATTATGGGATGTATGTGTTTATGTGTGTCTCCAGCAGCCCTCCCTCCTGATGGGACTGTCTGCTGGTGTGTCTCTTGTTACTAAATGTAGATTGCCCCGCCCTGTGTCATTATGCAGGGAGGGGGGATTGTTCCCTTGAATGTATATATCTTGTATCTGTGTTCAAATAGAGGAGTCTATTTCCTGGTTTACTTCAAGAGTGGTGTCTGTGGTCGGTATTCGGACGGGGAAGCGGGAGTCTAACGTAAATACCCAAGTGCAGTTGGGGTCCGGTTCCGTTACAAAGCTTAACTCTCAGCACATCAAAAAGAGTGGGAGTGGCATCACTAAAAGCCAATCAGCTGCATGCATGTGTGCCAACATGAGGAATGAGCAAAGCCAAGGACCCATTAGTGTGTTGCTGCTCATCCATTGTCTAATATGCAAGCTGTGAGCAGACTTTGACACTACCTTCCTTAACTCTAATCGAGAAAGTGCTGCACATTTCAGTCCTGGCAGTACTGTCTGGCAGAGGTGTGTAAGTCACAAATATGGATGGACAGAATTATAAATCATTTGGCAGATAAGTCCATTCAAGGATGCACATTACAAATATGTATTGTTGTAGCCTGATGTTGAATGACTAAAGATTTTTCTAGACCAACGCTAATGCTGCTTCAGTTCCTAAGGCCTCGTGCACAAGGATGGAGAGTCTGAAATGTGGCCAAATACTGTCTTCTTTTTTTTTTAATTGTTTTTATTCAATTTTGCATAAAAACAGATATAAAAACTTAACATTGCGCTTCACAGGGCGCCAAACGTGATCCACGCCTCGCGGGGCCCTGAACAATTACAAGAACAGTGCGATTAACTTGTATTGGTATCTAATCACAGAGACTGACTTACCCTAGCTTCACATCTACGCGTTTTCTGCAGCGCTTTGCAGAAACGCAGTACAGTCCACTTAACATGATTTCCTATGGGACAGGTTCACACCTACGTGTTTTCTGCAGCGCTTTGCAGTACAGTCCATTTAACATGATTTCCTATGGGACAGGTTCACATTCGTGTTTTCACCCCGGTACGTTTTTTTGGAAAGGGTCAGGGACTTTTTTGAACGCAAAACGTTGTGTATTTGGTTCTACAGACTTCAATGGGAATGCTGCAGAAAAGCATGTATTGCATTTTTGGTACGTTTTTGATGCGTTTTGCATTTAAAATCTGCCTAGCAACAAGAAAAATTTAAGAAATGGAAAAAAAAGACACAAAATGCATCAAAAACACAGCAAAAATGCGAATGTGCAAAAAATGCAACGCAAAACGCAATGCAGAAATGCACAAAATGCAACCTGCATAGGTGGGTGTGAACCTAGGGTACCAGAAACTAAGAGAACCTAAATGCCCCTCCTCCGTCCTTCCCCATTACACCACCCCTCCCACTTACCTTCAAACCAATTATTTTTATACAGGGAGATCCCTCCAACAGTATAGCCCCCCTCCAGTCAATGATTGATAGTAACACAGTAGCTAAATGGTTAGCACTTCCTCCTGGCAGTACCAGGGTTGATGGTTTGAATCCCAACCATGGCACCACCTGTTTGCATGCTCTCCCTGTGCCTGTGCGGGTTTCCTCCCACACTCCAAAGACATGCTGGTAGGTGAATTGGCTCCTGTCTATATTGGTCTTAGTGTATGTATGAATGTGAGTTAGGGACCTTAGATTGTACACCCCTTGAGGGTTAGGGACTGATGTGAATGTACAATATATATGTAAAGTGCTGCGTACATTGACGGTGCTATATAAGTACCTGAAATAAATAATAAATAAATAAATAACACAAGAGCAAATAAGGCAGGTAAAATCTATCATCCAGGCCATCACAATGAATCCTCATAAAATAATAAGATGTTGAGATGGGTTCCATGGGCAATTCTATGGGCATTTCTATGGGCATTTCCATGGGCGTTTCTATGGGCATTTCTATGGACATTTCTATAGGCATTTCTATGGGCATTTCTATGGGCATTTCTATAGGCATTTCCATGGGCATTTCTATAGGCATTTCTATAGGCATTTCTATGGGCATTTCCATGGGCATTTCTATAGGCATTTCTATAGGCATTTCTATGGGCAATTCTATGGACATTTCTATAGGCATTTCTATGGGCATTTCTATAGGCATTTCTATGGGCATTTCTATAGGCATTTCTATGTCCATTTCTATGGGCATTTCCATGGGCATTTCTATAGGCATTTCTATAGGCATTTCTATGGGCATTTCTATAGGCATTTCTATGGGCATTGGTTGGTCCTGTCTTCTTAGAGAACAGCAATCTTTCTATTTGCCGAAGCCTCCTCGGGTTCATCCGCTCTGAGAATAATCGTGCAGATCACCAATCACAGTTGCCCAGATCCATGAATTGATTATCTGCAGATCAGACGTATTTGCGTGCAAACATTCTGGCCAATCATCTATGATTCGGGGAGGAAGCTATAATCCGAATTGACAAATCTCTTCATTCATCCCCTCCGATTGTATTGTGAATAAGATTGCCTTTTCTATCAAGGGAATTTGGTATCTTCATGAGAGCGCAGTTCACAAACGTCTGATCATGTCCTATGTGTGTCAGGAAGCTGTGGTCGGGGACGGGATGTGGGCAGGCAGAGCAGGTGAAACAATCATTCTGAAAGCATTATAGACATATATGTACATAAATGAAGCTGCAAGAAAACAGAAGAGTTCCCAGTCCGGAAGACGAGACTCTGGGTATCTTGTCTACAGAGGGCTGAGTATGCAGAGGGCTGCAATCTGTGAGTTGCCGAAAGGTGATTGGTTGTGGGCGCCTTGTGTATCAATGGCGTCAAGTTGATAAACTTCATCTTGTAAACTGTCTAAGAGGAGATTTTCCACTCAGTGGAGAGATTTCTTCCATTTTCTGTTGAGTCTATACCATTGGTCTCCAAGCTGTGGCCCAAGGGCCTGATGCGGCTCTTTGATTGCCTTTATCCGGCCCTTGAGACACGATTCCTCTCACTGATACGAGACACAATTTTGCCAAATTATGTTAACAATGGGGCTCCATATCTCCCACTGATACTAACAATGAAACACTATTCCTCCCACTGACACCAATTATGGGGCACTAGTCCTCCCACTGACACCAATGATGGGCCACTCTCGTCCCAATGATACCAATTATGGGGCACTAGTTCTCCCACTGACGTCAATGATGGGCCACTCTCGTCCCAATGATACCAATTATGGGGCACCAGTCCTTCTACTGACGTCAATGATGGGCCACTCTCGTCCCACTGTCACCAATTATGGGGCTCGAGTCCTCCCACTGAGGTCAATGATGGGCCACTCTCATCCCAATGATACCAATTATAGGGCACTAGTTCTCCCACTGATGACAATGATGGGCCACTCTCATCCCAATTATACCAATTATGGGGCACTAGTTCTCCCACTGACGTCAATGATGGGCCACTCTCATCCCAATGATACCAATTATGGGGCACCAGTCCTTCTACTGACGTCAATGATGGGCCACTCTCGTCCCACTGTCACCAATTATGGGGCTCGAGTCCTCCCACTGAGGTCAATGATGGGCCACTCTCGTCCCAATGATACCAATTATGAGGCACCAGTCCTTCAATGACGTCAATGATGGGCCAATCTCATCCCAATGATACAAATTATGGGGCACTAGTCCTCCCACTGACATCAATGATGGGCCACTCTCATCCCAATGATACCAATTATGGGGCACCAGTCCTCCCACTGACGTCAATGATGGGCCACTCTCGTCCCAATTATACCAATTATGTGGCACTAATCCTCCTACTGACGTCAATGTTGGGCCACTGTCATCCCATTGATACCAATGATGGGGCACTAGTCCTCCCACTGATGTCAGTGATGGACCACTCTCGTCTCAATGATATCAATTATGGGGCATCAAATGTGGAAATGTTTTCTACCACTGATTCCAGGAAAATTTCCACTCCCGCTGGCTACAGTCCGGCCCACCTAAAGTCTGAAGGACAATAAAGTGGCCCTTTGTTTAGAAAGTTTGAAGACCCCTGGTCTCTACGATGGGAAGTGAAGATAAATCTCCCCAATGGGACAACATCCTATTGAGTGGCAATGAGCGCTGCAGTGTAGGGAGGTGGGGGTGTCACATGTTACGCCATATAAGTACCAGTATGTATTGCAGCAGATCAGGGTGGCAGACAAGCAAGAGAAGGTTAGTATTGGCTTTTTACAGTCTGATCTGTAAAGAAAACCTCCATCTATAAGTCCAGTGCAGCTCCTCTTTACATTTGTCATTTAAAGTTGAACCGTAGACCAAGGATCTGCAGAAGGTGGCCTGCAGCTGGGGTCAGTGGGCTGTCACACGGATCCTCGGGACAGGTGATGGTCTCCATTTCTCCCCAGCTTCTACATCCTCCATTCCCCTCCGCTCTCCAGCACAGTTCCCCTGGCTGTAATGTCATTGTAGTGGCGTTGGTTGCTACCCTACAACCAATCACATGCTTGCCTCAGCATTCACAGGAGGATGGTTCCCAGCCATGCTGTAAAGGTGGACTCTGATGTAAGGGTGGACTCTAAATGGGACCGTGATGTAAAGAGGACTCTGATGAT